TGCCTGCCTGCAGCCTGCAGGGCGGGCCAGTCTTATATAGTGCTGGCCCGTCCAGGAGGCTGCTCTTGCCAATGCCAAAACGTGCCAGACCCTGGTGTTGAAGTTCAAACAAAGGTTGTCTTGAAAACAGGCCAAAAATGGTCTGTACTAAAAACCCTGGTATGGTGCCTAAGTTTCAGAGCAGGTCGACTTTATGAGGGTCTGAAAATGGCCCTCTGTTTCAAGCTGAAAAGACTCAGGGCCTGGAAGGCCCTATTTTAGGCTGAAACGACATAGGGTCTATACGTTTTCGGGCTTTCAGGCTGAAACGACACAGGGCATGTAGGCCCTTGCTTTCCTTGTTTGATCGGGCCTTGTAGGCCCGTGTGGATGCGCAGTATGCCACACCGCCCCCTCCTTGAAAGACCAAGCGTACGTGTGAGGCGAAGCTGCTTGTCGGAGGGAGGGACCAAAGTCCGGGTGGGAGGGGCAGGCTTGCGAAGCTTCCTTAGCTGGTCTTCATTGCTCGTAGTCGGCGTAGATCAGCGGTGCAAATGCTTGCAAATTTGAATTTGCGAGCTTGGTGTCCAAAATGTCGAAGGACACGACCTCGCTTACATGCGGGGCGAAGTACACGGGGACGGGGTTAATGCACCGGTCGATTGACTTGTGTGTGTGACTGTCAGCCAACGTGACTTGCGTGGGTTACAACTTCCTCCGAACGCGTGGCCCCAAGCCATTGCGTACCAGAAAATCGTGGTCAATATAGTTGTGAGTGCTTCCTCAATCGATCAAAGCGCTGCAGGTCGCCTCTCCGATGATCTGAATGCGTATGTACAACAATGGCGCGTCGATGTCGTCGTACCGTTGTGTCTTGAACTCGCGGTCGATCTTCGCAACATAGTCGTGAAGGTCAACAACCTCTACTCCGGCGTCCAGCAACGGAGCTGGTACTGTAGTGTGCAAGTAATCCCGCAATTGTGCCTTGAGCACGTTGCAATGCGGTTTCGGCAATCGACCGGTCGTGGAAACGGGCATCCATTGGAAGTCCGGGAACGTCAACGGGTCGAGCTCTTCAAGCCTTGACCATGGCCTCGAACCCCCAGCGTTGGCGGCGAAGCTGCCGAACTGGTTGCCGATGGTGGTGAAACCGTGCATGCGGTGGATTGTTGTACGTGGAGTGATTGGTCCAACGGTGGGACCAAGCGGACAACGTAATCCTCTTAAGATTACCGAGGACTTGCGACATGCACCTCCTCCCCAGATGTGTAGGAGACCGCTAGCAAGGCGGCCGAATCTGGCGAAATGAGGGGTGGAGTTGCCTCACCTCCCGCGCAGCTCAGTTTCCTGAGTTGTGGTGTTGGCTGTCCATTTTCAGTCGGCGATGCAGTTTTCGCCTTCCCTTTTCCCGGGAGTTGTTGTTTCTTCGCGGTTGGATGACAGCCACCTGATCTCCTTCACGTGATGCTTGGGTGGCTGCGGGGTCTTCCACAATGGTGTCCGGTTGGACTGCAGCGACATGCTGCGGAGGCGGACCAAAATTTCCCTTCTCCACATGGGCTGGCTGCCACGCTGTCTTCTCGTGTGCAACCGCCCTGTTGGTCTTGATGATCTCCCTTGCCTTGTCGATGATTTCGGCGAAGGTCGTGTATTGCTCGCGATCACCAAGTGCGAGACTCAAGGCGGCACATGACCGGTTGTAGAACTCCCGGCGCAAATGCGAAAATGGAAACTTGAGGTCGGGCGTCGCCACGATCTTTTGCCATTGAATTTCCGTGAGCCAGTCACGTGTTGGTGTGTTGCCGTGAGTCATGCTGAAGAGGCGGTTGATGGCGAGCGTTGGGGCGTCGTCCACGATGAACCGCTTCTTCCATAGCTTCGTCAACTCGTCCCAAGAGATCTTCTTATGTAGATCGGCAACTTGGACGCCGTGGATGGTTGCAAGGTGGGTGATCCAGATCTGGCATCCGCCCTTTGAGTTGAGTAACAGCGCGCCCGACCCGATGTACGAGTGCTCGGGGACGAAAATAATCCGAAGTTGCGTCGTAAAGCCCTCCCACCAGGGGACCGGGTCTTGATGTGTATAATCATCGAACTTTTCGATTTGAAATGTCGGCATCTTGTAGTGCTGCGCGCTGGTGTTGCCATCCTTGTTGGGCAGCTGGTGCAGTTCCTGAACCTCGGTCTTCAAGGTGTCTAGCTGCTTGCTGATGGTGGCTGGTGTAGCAAAGGTGCTGATGTCGCCGAGCATTGTGACTTTGTGGTCAACTCGTTCCTCCAATTTGCGGGTAGAGGGTGCACTGCTAGACTCGCCAGCATCTGGTCTTGGTGCAACTTGTTCCAAGTCCTGTAGCATCCTCATGCAGATCCTTGTGGTTCCGCACCGCCCGTCGGAGATTCGTCAGCTCGGACTGCAGGTGGTTACAAGTGTAAACCAACCGGGTCACGAGTTTGGCAAGGAACTCCTTGTGCTGCTCATCCGGTGTCGCGTCTTCGTGGTGCTCGGATGGTTCAAAATGCCAGAACTTGAGCTTTTCGATGCTGGTGGCTTCATGCCGCTGTAGCAGATCCTGGGCCTCCTTGTGGAGTGCCTGGGTATCTGCGTCTGCTTCAGCCTGAAGCCACTGTTTTTTAGTTGCTCCCGCCGCTTCAGCTTGTAGGCGGGCAGCCTCGGCTGCCGCCTGATGCTGTTCCTCAGCCTCGATCAGTGCGAGCTGAGCTTCGAACCACTGTCGGTACTCGGCAATGGACTCATTGGCCAGTTGGCCTGGCATGCCCAGAACTGAGACCGTCATGGTGGCGGGGCACTGCTGACGTGGCTCTGTTGCTAACGTGGTACTGCTGACATAGCACTGCTGACGTGGCACTGCTGACGTGGCACTGTGATGTCGCACTGCTGACATGGCACTGTGACGTGGCACTGCTGACGTGGCACTGTGAAAAACCGGGGATGCAGGCAAAGGGTTTGGTGGGAGGGAAAACGCAGGTAGGTAACCAACCAAGCTATACTTTCCTCCCGGTCCTAATCAACGGAATAAAATAAAATAAAAATAAAAGAAGAGGATCACCCCCCCCCTTTTTTTTTGTGTGTGTATCTGTCCATCTGCTATTAGTGAGGCATTTCAGAGGAGTACTATGAGCGAGATCTAGGCAAGGTTCCGCAAAGTTTCGGCTTTCAAAAAAATGCAATGTTGAAAAAAAAATTGTGTGAAATAGAGTAGAGATGCGATTTTCAGAAAAGAACTAAATCCAGTTTCTGAGAGTATGACAACCTCCTAATATGCCTAAACGAAATGCTGATAGGCTTCGCAAGATTTCGGTTTTCAAAAAAAAATTGCGAGATAGAATGGAGATTCGATTTTCAGAAACGAATAAATCCGGTTTCCAAGAATATGACAACCTCTATCGTTATCCTAACATGCCTAGAAAACGAAATGCTAACATCAGGAATTTTCGGCTATTTAGAAAGAATGCATATATCAGAAATTTTCAGATGAAACGAAATGCTATTATCAGGAATTTTCAGATATTTGTTGCGAGAATTTTTTTTTTTCCAGAGATTTGATGAAGTCCTACTTGATTTACTAATAACCAATCAATAGATCAAGCAAGCTGGGTACTTGATTGAGCGAGTCCTCTGATTGAGAGGTCCGCTCCGATACCAAATTGTCGCATACCATAACGGTGCAGACCAGAACAAGAACCGACCTCTCTCACAAAGTAAAAGATAGCGTAGAGGAAGACTTAGATACCAATGATTCGAACAATCAATGTCGCAATGCAGCCCAACCATACACAGACAAAGAGGGGGGGGGGTAGACGAAGAAGAGGGGAAGATGGGAATGTCGTCAACACCAAGTCTTCGGCACAGGCCCCAAATAATCCCTCGTCAAATGTCTGAATCCCAATGTTGAGTCTGGATCCAATGTCGTCAAGTCCCAAAGTCACAACTCTCTCTCTCTCTCTCGTAGTCCACAGATACTGAGAAGTCAGGTAGTGAGAGGGTGAAGAAGAGATGGTGGACTTAGAAGAGGAAGAAGTAGAACTCTCTCTCTCTCTCTCTCAGTCCGATACTAACCTGTGAAGTTGGCGCCTTGATGCAGGTACCTCGAAGATGAAACTGGAGCTATGTCGCCACAGGTAAGTCTCCCTGGCCTCCGCCAGCCATCTCTCTCTCTCTCTCCAACGCTACTCAGCTCCTACCAGCGCCCAGCGCTGAAGACTACAACTACTGCTACTAGCGCCCAGCGCTGAAGACTACTGCTAGCGCTAAAGCTACTCCTGCTGCGCTCCTCCAGAGTGCTGCTGCCGAATCCTGAAGACTACTCCTGCCTTCTGCCTCGTGCACTTGAGGTTCCTAGGAACTACCTCGTGACTCCCTGCCTGCCTGCAGCCTGCAGGGCGGGCCAGTCTTATATAGTGCTGGCCCGTCCAGGAGGCTGCTCTTGCCAATGCCAAAACGTGCCAGACCCTGG